GCTGATATCATACTCTTTTTTGCATACAATTCAAGAAAAACAATTCTTAGGTAAGTAACTGAGATTGATTGTTGGGCCAGAGTCAATCTGATTCCGTACTAAACTTTGCACATCAGAACAAAGTAAGGAGTATCTGAATTCTTTAGGAAATCTGCCAGAGTTTGTTGTGTTCATTTGAATCCTGCCAAGGTTCAGAAATATGATGAAGGGTCAGAATGAGAAACCCAAAGCGGGGAAAAAACCCGACCTCCTTTAATCCAATCATCTTCACACAAAAGGACTGAACACTAAAGTTGCAGGATCGATTTCACTGGGACAAATAACTTATTTTTAATTAGTTCTATTTGGTGACATCCAGACAAATGAATCATGCCCTGATTCTAACAATAGTGAAAAGTATTACAGAGAGGCCTTGGAACGAAGGAGTAAGAGCTCAAATTCTGGGGATTTCTTGGCACCTGATGTTCATACTAAGTCTCCCACAATTTCCTAAAGGGTGAGGTAAGCAGGAAAGGAGAGGAAGCGGGAAGAAGGAGAGCCGTCACCAACTGGGGACAGGCTTCTTCCGCGTGGGACACGCCTGCAATACACTCTGGCGAGTGCAGAGAACTATCTGGAGTCCGATCGCTACGTGAATAAAGCAACCGACCGGACGTTTCTTCTTCCGATGCCCAAACTCATCCAACTTGACTGTTGTCCAAGCATTAACATTTTTATCGTACGCAGTTTTAGTAGCTACAGACCTCTGGCTGTTTTGGAAGTGGTCTGTGACTGGCCTTATGTGAGAGGACACAGGAAACAGAAGGAATGTTTACGAGATCTTTGTAACGACCGTCCCGAGAAGGAATGTTTGCTTTGTATGGTGCTTTTATCTTATGACACCGGACCCATTTTCGATTGTTCAAGCAAGGTCAAGTGATGGGTTTTGAGCCGCTGTTCACCAAGCCTGGAACAGGATTTGGCAGTTCACAAAGAAAAAAAAAGGCTTGGATAAGTGAGTGGGAAAATGCCATTCAATGAGTTAACTAAGGGAGAGCCCTCGTACAGTTTGACAAAAAAGAATCTTGACGAAGTCATAGCTTTTAATACTCAGATAATTATCTTTTGCTATTTTTTTTTTAAATCACCCAGTTATCCCCAAATTACAGGTTTGTTGAAATAGCTGGTTATCATCTTCCAGGATAGGTTGAAGTTCATTTGTCCCGTGAATGAATCAAAAAAAGTCGTCCTTGGGTTTAGGGCACAGAGGATGGAGTAAGCAGATTTGGCCTGAGTTCCGGCTCTGGTACTTATTAGCTGTACAACTTGAGCAAAGTTATTGACCTCTCTGGGTCAAAGTTTTCACAGCTCTGAAATAAAAATAGTACCCATCTCATTGGATCGATCCCAGCAGGACATGTGACAAGGGAGACAGTAAAGCGACCAGCGCTAGCTACGGAATGAGAGACAGGGCTGAACGGGGGAGATGCAGCTCGGCAGTCCTGTGGGTTGGGGTCGTCTCTCAGCTACCCACTCTCAGGGACCACAGGAGGAGGACCTAACCTCTTGGGACAGCACCTGCCTCCAAGGGGTGCTGTGACCGCCTGTGCAAGGTGCTTGGCACAGTGCCTGGCACATTGGAGGCAGTCACCACAGGCCAGCATCCTGCCACCTACCTGCCCAATCTCTAAGTAGGAGGGCTCGTTAGCGAGCACAAACGCGGGATTTAAGCGTGCATGACAGCGAAGCTAAGGATGCATCCCCTGGCATTACCTGAGTCTTACCTGAAATAATTAAGGTATAATTGGGTTTATACGACCCACCTGGGGAGCAAATGAAAATGGATGAAAAGGCTGGAAAAAATCCTGTGCAAGAGAGATGAAAGGAGTGTACACACTTGTTCTGGAGAAAAAGGA